ATCCTTGATTCCATGTATTGTAAGCTTTAAATTTTGTTTTGGAGTAAGAAAAACTTTTCAACATGCAAATTCTTCATCATGGTTACATCATATCAATTAAAATAGACACCATAGGCTCACAGAAATCGTATACACAAGCATAACATGTGAATAATCAAAGAATCATAGTTTGGAACAACAGATTTAAAACCCCCCAATCTCTACCAACCCTAAGCATTCTCCCATGAGAACCCAAGAACCCATTATCACTGCATTTTACACGAATATTGTTACACACAAAACCCACCCCCATGTTTTCCTCTTGCTCCACATCAAGAAAATATCTTATTGTCTTACGTGATACCCCATGGCCCCATTACACCCCATGGTCCTTACAAAACATGTTTGGAAACAAAAATGTATGGCAAAAAATCTCCAACCCAAACCACAATCTACCTTATGTATAATCACATTTAAATATCAACAAACCATTACACCACTTACTCAGCTAAAGTGCACCCAAACAACCCATTCTTTCCACAATCTCACATATATATACTTAAGCACTAGGAACAAGTCGTGGCTGCACACAAAATAGAAACTCCATGCACTCTACCATGTAACTACCACAACCTCTTGTAATAGATTGTAAAAGATAGACCAATGCATGGAAAGACGTAAAAAGTGGCACAACCATTTCAATCTTTTCTCACCTAGCCTAAACAATTTACTGGTTCTATTTTTGACCCCTTAGTATGGATTCCTATTATACTCTTCTTAGTTTTGAACTTTAAATGTTATTGATCTTCAGACTTAAATACTTTCCAAGTAACAATAAACACACAGAGAGGTAAGTCCTACATCCAAGATGATTCATTTATCTCTAGACAACTTTGTTGGTGCTTTACATCAACTTGCTAACATCATTGTATTTAGGAGAGACATTCACTTCCCATTGTACTTGTATAGGCAAGATGTCGCAAAAGCTTGCGTCAGGGAAAGAAGAACTGAATATTACCCTCATTCGGGTATGAATGATGTAATCATATGAATTGTTCTTTATATAAAACTGATTTATCTAATTATATTTGCATCAAATAATTTTTTTCTTTTGAAGTATATGTTTGGTGTAAGTAACAATATGGAGTCAATGATGTCTATAGGTTCATTGACCGTCAACTCACACATGAAGGCAATAAACTTTGATAACATCTAAGCATATGTCACTAACTACTTTCACGGAGGTAGGAAATATACTACAAAAAAAAAGAATTACCGACTGACAAAATCTGTTGATAATGTCAAATATTCGATGGTAATACATAGTTACTGATAAATTTCCAATGGCCAAAAGTATTTACTTGTGATTCAACATCAAGAGTATATCCCACCTTAGATGTGACCTTTGAGAGTCTAAGAGAGAAACCTTCATGTTAAATAATATAAAAAGCATCAGTAACATGAAGTTCAAAGTTTGAAAGAAAATAAATACTATATGATTGAATATTTTTAAAAAGTTGGCTTACAATAGTCTAGTGAGACCTCTCATCAACGTATACACCAATGCCTTTTCGAAGATGAGTTTGTGTAAACACCTCATCAACGTTGATAACTCGTCCAAGCTCTACTACTTGTAAAATTATAGAATATATATATAGAATTTGGGACAGGTAGCTTATGAGGAACCCTTATAATGTATTGAGCTTGCCTTCTAGGCTTCTTTACAGCCTTTCCCTTATCAGGACGAGAATGACCCTCTCCTAACATTACTGCAATGTGAAAGTATAAAAATAAATTGCAAAAGACTAGAGATGATTAATTAACGTGTAATACATAATTTTAGTGTATTGTTACAACTTTGTAGAATCGTGCATTTGTACATGTTTGTATTTGAATTTGTAGTTGTGTGATAACACAAGGGTTGTTCTAATTCAATCGTGTTCATTGTCGTCATCATCAGCATTGTCATCGTTGTTGGAACCGTTACTATGATCATCATAATCATTGATCGAGGTTGTACCCAAATCAAATTAATATGCAATTAAAGTGCAATATATACTAGGAAGTGACTCCTAGGCCGTCTCTCAAGGACCAACATTTGGTTCAGTCATTAGATCAAACACATGGTGGGGGAGCTTGTTGGAAAGATTTGTGAATTGAAATTAAACAACTAAAGCACGAATTCAAACACTAATTAAAAACAATTGGTCACTAATTCGATTGCAATGTTCCAATAACAGATTAACAACAATTACCCACTACTTTAACCCCCAATCGAACATGAATTAACCAACTAAGTGAAGACTAATCATGTTTTCATAAAAGTGAATTAAGCAATTAGGCAACGAAGCATGTACCCAATTGGAAGTGCACAAACAGATTGAATATGAGCAAAGTCAAAGCAGCAAAAACACAATAAAAATGCAGAATTGTCATGGAAACATCTCAATGACACTAATGACCAACCAAAAAGATTCACCATTAGAATGAAATGGAAACAACAAAACACAACATTCATGAACAATATGGAAACAAAATAAAGAAAAAAAACAATGCAACGAAACCCTAACAGTAAAACGAATATGGAAAAGGGAATTGGAATTGAAATAACAAACCCAAGCTAAATTGCAAGACGAAAATGAAATTTAGTGCAGTAACAAATGAATCAAACGTCGGTTGAAATGCCTAGAATAGTAGAAGCAAGGAAAAATGAAATTAGCAAGAACAATATGACAGAACTGAAATCTAAAATGAAATTTCAATTAGAAAACGAAATTCAATACATAAATGAAAAGAAGAGATGAAAATGAAACCCAAGCCCCAAGATGGAGGAAGTTGAAACACGCCTAAGCCTAAAACGAGACTGAGGAGAAAAGAGCCTCCAAATATGATTCAAGGGTTTTAAAAACCCTTAATTCGAATTCTGCCCTTCATATGGGCTTGTACAAAATCTTCCTAAAAATGGGCCCAAAGCCATAAAGTTTGACCCAATTACATTAAAAACGAGATAAGAATAAAATGTTGACGTGCACAATGGTAAATGACGTGGAAACACCCTTGTTGTCCTGAAATATGATTCCAAAAATTGTTCTACAAATAATAATGGGAATAATTAAGGTCAAATTAATTAAAATAAGAATTACTAGTCAAATTAAGCCCAAACAGTGAAATGAGACAATAATGGAGAATTAAACACAATTCATTAATACAATTCGGTACGAAAAGCTAAGTGAATAGTACAAAATAATGATTCATCAATCATCATTATCTTCATCGTCTTCAAGTTCTTCTTCTTTGTTGTCTTGTTCTTCCTCTTCTTCTCATTGTTCTTCAACTTCTTGTATTAGTCCTTTCAACCACTAGTAAAAAAATAGTTTTTTAACGCGTCTAATGCGCCTCAGTTTTTAAAACCGAAGCATATTAAAACGCAGTGGCATTTTTGTAATTAAGGTCCACTTATACGCCTCGGTTCATTAGAAACCGAAACCTATGCACTCTATTGCCTCGGTTATTTACGAAACCGAAGCATAAAGGTCTCTGCAAGATGTCATTGGGCATTTATGTTTGGTTTGCCTTTTAACCGAGGCATATAGGTTATTTTGAATTTTTCTTTTAGCTCTTTAGTCATCGGTTAGAATACGAATCGATTTAGTAATGTTCTTACTGCCTCCTTTATTTGTTGAACTGAGGTAGTAGTCCTTACACTTTTTCAAAATTACTGAAAGTTTACACAGTTTTCTTCTTCCTCTAGCACGCCTCCTCGCTCTTCTTCTTCTTCCCCTGTGACCTCAACCACAAGTGGGCGAACCTCCACTACCAAACGCATAGTTCTCGCATTCTCCATTTCTCTCGTGCAAAGAAATCTCCACTTCGCGGTCTGGTTTCTCTCGTAGGTTGCTCGTTGCGTCCACTGTCGTGCCGCCACAGTTCGTCCACCATCGGCGTCTCCATTGTCTCCGACGCCTCCATTGTCTCCGACGCCTCCATTGTCTTCGACGAAGTGGGGCTAGGGATTCCAATCGCGAGCTTCCTCCTTCTCGCGCTGAAGAGACTGATAATTGGGCGGCGACAAAGAAACCTTCGGAGGGTTTGAGAGGAGGGAGAGGGATAGAGGAGGGTTCTTCGATTCGCAGTCGCGCGATGAGAAATCGGAGAGCTAGGTTTCGGAAAAGAGTTTTGTGTCGTCGGAGCGGAAATTCGCCTCCAACGGTGAAGGGTTTGAGGGAGAGAGGAAGGTTATTGGGTTTGGCTCCAACGACAGCGTTGATTCAAATGACTGGAACAAGAAGAAGGACAAATCCAACGTTGATAGCGAGAGTGTTGTGTTGGTGGAAAGAGACCAAGGCCTTTTCTGCAACCTCGATCTCTGTCGGTGTTCAATAAAGGGGGGATGGGAATGTGGGGAAATCTAAAGGGAGTTAATCCGTTCGGAGAAGCGAGGTCAGGGACGCAGGTTTTGGCAGAGAAAGGGCAAGATTGAAAAAAGATTGATTAACAGCTTCAAGATTAAGGAGACAGGTGGAGGTGATGCCTTTGTAAAGTAGGGTTTTTGGTATTTCAATGGAGGAGGACGAACTCCTTTGCCTGAAAGTCTCACTAAGAGGAGTTGGAGGAAGCCCATATTTGATGATGAAAGTTCTAAAAGGTTTGTCACTGATACTATTTCTTCTTGGATCCTTGTTTTTGCTGTTGAGATTGTGTTGTGTCTTTTATCATATTGGACGTTTCTTGCTAGTATTATCTTCTTTGGATACTGATTAATTCAACGTGTATTCTTAGCTGATGCCTAAGTGTGAAAAAAAAATGAACCAAGTGCTCAGAATTGTTACGTGCACGTCTAAAATCGTAGAGAGTATAAATAGCACGTCTGAAATTGTTATGTGCACGATCTGAAATTGTTATGTGCACGATCTGAAATTGTTATGCTTCTTGTTTGATAGCGTGTTAGAAAGTCAAGTTCGAGTTAAGTTTTTGTGCTTTTATATCATTGATTTTTACAATCTTTTAGGGATGTCCTTCATTGAAGCAAACATTGAGAAGCTCAAGGATATCGAAAACTGTTGCCCATGTTGGTTTATCATTGTTTTTCCTATAATGGTTTAACTTTCGGAGTGTGCTGGAATTAAAATTGTGTTCCCAATTACAGTGACATTGTCTGCTACTGTAATGAATGGAATATAAGGTGTTTAATGACTCTGTTCTTTTTCATTTGTATGTGTGTAAGAGAAGATACGAAACACACTTATCAGTTAGCATAGATTTATCCCTGATTTATTAATCGCTATCATTTATGAAAAGTACCCAATAGTATCAAACGTTATTCCCTTTGTTGAAATTTTATAGCCTTTACATTTAATGATGTTCTTTTGCATTAATTTCCAGTGTTCTTGATGATGTTGAGCTGGATGGTCCGGATACCAGAAGTTCAGGTATTATATTAATTTACATTTTTTGAAAGTGTAAATTCATAATCATAAGTTGAGAATTTATCCTTCTTTATAAGTGAATTAAAGTGCTGCATGCTTTTATATGTGGTTGTTATCACTGCTAGATAATTCAGGAAGTAAAAAATGTTGGTACTAAAATTTGCATGGCCCCACTTGTGGATGTGGTCATCTTATATAATTTTCAATTAATATTTATATTAACCTTTTTCTCACTATGTATTTCAGATGTTCTGCCGGAAGGTCTCATACATGAACTTCCTAGTGAAAACGAGTTTCATGAGGCAACTCCTGACGCTCTAGATGGTTCACTGTTCCAATCACCCTCTGCTACTGCAAAAGCATTCATGAGTTTATTTTTATGTGTATTGTGGTACTCTATCTTTTGTAAATCTTTATTTTAGTGTGTATTGTGTGTATTGGCTTAATTCTTGATTGTTGGAAGATCTGCAAGAAAAAATTGTTCAATGTTCTTAATTTGTATTGGACAGATACTGCCTTGGTTCAGTAGGAACCGAGGCGAAATATATATAAAAAAGGAAAAATTGTACTGCTTCGATTATTTGTGAACCGAGGCAAAATCATGTCCTTTTTGCCTCGCCTGTATATGCCTTGGTTACGAAACCGCTGCCTATAACTGAAAATAACCATTGTCGTTTCCCTCGAATGCACTAGTGAACTCTTCAACATGACCATCGAAGTCGTGCAATGTGGATACACCTTCCACTTGAATAATTTCACTTGCATGTGTCATTTCATCAACTTAGTAAGGGGGTATCCTCTTCAACATCATTTGACTCAATGCGACCCCTAGACTTGGTTTGTATTGCAACACACCAACCATATTTGTCAATGCTACGAAATGTTGGATATGGGACATAATAAACTTGTCTAACATTATGAGCTAGAATGAATGGATCAAATGGGTGGTATCTTAAAGTCATTTGAATTTCAACAATCTTATACCTAGGATCCACTCTTGTTCCACTCCTAGAAGGATCAAATCATTCACAATAAAAAAGAATTACTCTCTTTGGAGTAGTTGAAGTGTTGGACTCAAGCTCATAAATTTTATGAATAATACCATAAAAATCATGATAACCACCCATTGTAAGGCCTTTCACAAACACACCACTATTAGTTGACTTCTTTCCTCACGATAATGCATCAGTGTGAAACTTGTACCCATTGAAAAAATATGTGTATCATTCTTTGACACATCTCATGGGCCAATTTGACAAATCCCTTAGATCTTGAATTATGAGACTTAATGGATGGTTAGGAACTACAAATACGAGAAGAAAGATTTAGTTACAAGTGTTATTCAAATTGTTTTTAAAATTAATGAAAACATACACATACTTGATATATGAACCGTTGAGGGAACTCCGAGTCTATTATACCAGAAGTACTTCCTTTTGGGACTTGCATAGCCATAAGAAATGAGTTGTTAAATATGAACACAATTAGTGACTATAATAAATTTAGGATTGGCAAGTTAAGAATGAGATGAGAACATACACAAGGTACACCTTCACTTTAGTGTAATTAATTAACATATGGACGTGAGCAGAGTTAAATTCAACATCAACTAACCAATGAGTGAACTCATTGCCTGCATGACGACTTACTTGGTGAAACACTAATAAAGTTGAATGACATGTGGCAGCTTGCCATTGCGTTTCATTCCTAACATTTTTGAGTGATAACATCAAGTGCTTAAAATAATGTGAACAAAAGTACGTTGTCTCACGATGCAAGTAAGTTACACATCCTTCTACTTTGACTTTATTTTTCGCCGAACATTTTAATTCTCCCATAAACCTTTCAAACGAATACATCAACCTATATTGCACTTGTCCACAAAACCATGCTTCATATGCAAGATGAATTGAAAGATGTTCCATTCAATCGAAGATTGCAGAAGGGAATATTCTTTCCAATTGGCAAAGAATAATGAGAATATTTTCCTCCAACTTTCTCAACGACTCTTCCTTGAGCGTCATGGAGCACAAATCCTTAAAGAAGTGATTGAATTCTATGCGTGGATTTAACATGTTCATTGGCAAACAACTAAATGCAGTAGGGATTAAAGTCTCCATAAATACATGACAATCATGACTCTTCAAACCTTGAATACTAGCCTTATCAATATTAGCACATTTGGCCAAGTTTGGAGAATAGCCATCTAGCATTTTAAGCTCTTTTATCCATCGACAAACTATTCTAGTCTTGTCTTTTGATACGGTGTAATTTCCCTTTAGGTTCAACAACCTCCTGTTATCTTTGGCCTTCAACTCTAAGTATCTTTGTGCACAATATAAAGATAAATCTTTTCTTGCATTTTCATTATCTTTTGTCTTGGCACTAATATTCATGATTGTGTTAAAGATGTTTGATGAATCAATATTTTCTACTATTCACTTAGCTTATTGTACTACATTTCATTAGGGAATTATGCTTAATTGTCCAATATTTCCTCAGTTTTGATATTTGTGCTTAGTTTGACCAATAATTCTTATTTTAATTAATTTGAATTATCTAAGGCTAATTATTGCCATTATTAATTGTAGGGAATTGTTTGGAATATTATTTTTGGACTTCAAGAGGGAAAAAAATGTCAACAACCACTCTCCACATGCTCATTTTAGATTTAATGCAATTGTAAATTCGTTTTTGCTGTATTTTGGACAGATTTGGACCATTGGGCCATTTTGGGTCAAAATAGTAAAAGCCAAATTTGTGGGCTGACCTTGGACTAGTGAGTTTTCTGCATTGAGTTTCGCATTGAGTTACCCATTCGTTTTCTGCGTTTTGAAGGATGTTCATGGAATCTTAATTTTGTGGGTTGGTGATTAGTGAGGTTGCAAAGGTTTCCTTGAGAATATTGGAGCATAATTGTGATTTTGTTTTGTGTGCGCTACATATATGCAATCTGTTCTAAGCATGATAATCTTCGCTTAGTATATTACTGTGCTTGTGCAGAACTAATGAATCTGTGTGAGTGCGTTTGCTTAATTCGCATTTTATGAAGACCATTTAGACTTCACTTAGTTGTCTAGTTCGTGTTGGATTAAGGGTCATAGGATTGAATATCTGTTGTAAATCTGTGATTGAAAACAAGTGTAATCGAGCTAACACCAACTTGTCTTTAATCTTTGTTTAAATTGTGTTAAGCAGTTAATTTCATTTCATAAAACCACCTTCAAAACCCCCCCACCATGTGTTCGACTTTTCACCTGAACCACTTTTGGTCCTTGAGAGACGACCTAGGAGTCACTTACTAGTATTATACTGTACTTAATTGCATATTAATTTGATTCGCGTATGTCCTCGATCAATGTTGTCAAAGAAATTCATTTCTATATGCATGACATTCAAGTTATATCTCAGCAAGTTATCCTTCCAATACGGAAGATCCTACAGAATGCTTCTCTTAATCCAGTTATGCCACTATCCATACCATCCTATCCTATTCATACCACTTTCAGTGACTTTTGGAAAATGTTTCAATCTTCTCCATACTTTTGATGGAGTAAGCCTAGATTGTGGCATATTTGTTTCAACTTGGCCTTTGCAAAAAGTCTTTTTGTTCCTCCCAAACATGTGATGAATGGACAAAAACTTCGATGACAGTTAAACCAACAACTTTTCCGACCATAAGTCAATAAGAATGACTTTGTNAATAAACTTGTCTAACATTATGAGCTAGAATGAATGGATCAAATGGGTGGTATCTTAAAGTCATTTGAATTTCAACAATCTTATACCTAGGATCCACTCTTGTTCCACTCCTAGAAGGATCAAATCATTCACAATAAAAAAGAATTACTCTCTTTGGAGTAGTTGAAGTGTTGGACTCAAGCTCATAAATTTTATGAATAATACCATAAAAATCATGATAACCACCCATTGTAAGGCCTTTCACAAACACACCACTATTAGTTGACTTCTTTCCTCACGATAATGCATCAGTGTGAAACTTGTACCCATTGAAAAAATATGTGTATCATTCTTTGACACATCTCATGGGCCAATTTGACAAATCCCTTAGATCTTGAATTATGAGACTTAATGGATGGTTAGGAACTACAAATACGAGAAGAAAGATTTAGTTACAAGTGTTATTCAAATTGTTTTTAAAATTAATGAAAACATACACATACTTGATATATGAACCGTTGAGGGAACTCCGAGTCTATTATACCAGAAGTACTTCCTTTTGGGACTTGCATAGCCATAAGAAATGAGTTGTTAAATATGAACACAATTAGTGACTATAATAAATTTAGGATTGGCAAGTTAAGAATGAGATGAGAACATACACAAGGTACACCTTCACTTTAGTGTAATTAATTAACATATGGACGTGAGCAGAGTTAAATTCAACATCAACTAACCAATGAGTGAACTCATTGCCTGCATGACGACTTACTTGGTGAAACACTAATAAAGTTGAATGACATGTGGCAGCTTGCCATTGCGTTTCATTCCTAACATTTTTGAGTGATAACATCAAGTGCTTAAAATAATGTGAACAAAAGTACGTTGTCTCACGATGCAAGTAAGTTACACATCCTTCTACTTTGACTTTATTTTTCGCCGAACATTTTAATTCTCCCATAAACCTTTCAAACGAATACATCAACCTATATTGCACTTGTCCACAAAACCATGCTTCATATGCAAGATGAATTGAAAGATGTTCCATTCAATCGAAGATTGCAGAAGGGAATATTCTTTCCAATTGGCAAAGAATAATGAGAATATTTTCCTCCAACTTTCTCAACGACTCTTCATTGAGCGTCATGGAGCACAAATCCTTAAAGAAGTGATTGAATTCTATGCGTGGATTTAACATGTTCATTGGCAAACAACTAAATGCAGTAGGGATTAAAGTCTCCATAAATACATGACAATCATGACTCTTCAAACCTTGAATACTAGCCTTATCAATATTAGCACATTTGGCCAAGTTTGGAGAATAGCCATCTAGCATTTTAAGCTCTTTTATCCATCGACAAACTATTCTAGTCTTGTCTTTTGATACGGTGTAATTTCCCTTTAGGTTCAACAACCTCCTGTTATCTTTGGCCTTCAACTCTAAGTATCTTTGTGCACAATATAAAGATAAATCTTTTCTTGCATTTTCATTATCTTTTGTCTTGGCACTAATATTCATGATTGTGTTAAAGATGTTTGATGAATCAATATTTTCTACTATTCACTTAGCTTATTGTACTACATTTCATTAGGGAATTATGCTTAATTGTCCAATATTTCCTCAGTTTTGATATTTGTGCTTAGTTTGACCAATAATTCTTATTTTAATTAATTTGAATTATCTAAGGCTAATTATTACCATTATTAATTGTAGGGAATTGTTTGGAATATTATTTTTGGACTTCAAGAGGGAAAAAAATGTCAACAACCACTCTCCACATGCTCATTTTAGATTTAATGCAATTGTAAATTCGTTTTTGCTGTATTTTGGACAGATTTGGACCATTGGGCCATTTTGGGTCAAAATAGTAAAAGCCAAATTTGTGGGCTGAC